TACTATATTCATTTATATAACATTCTTGAATTGACAGATTCAAGAAATGGAGAGCAGATCAGTGGTTGCCAAGGATTAAGAAGGGGCTGAGAGTGAAGGAAAGTGAATGTGGCTATAAAAGGCAACAGGAGGGATCCTTGTGATGTCAACATTCTGTATCTTGATTATATCAATGTCAATATTCTGGTTGTAATACTGTCCTATAGTTTTGCAAGATGTTACCATTGGGGGAAGTTGGACGAAGAGTACATAGAATTTCCCTGTATTACTTTTTGTAACTGTATGTGAATCTGTAATTATTTCAAAATTAAAAATTTAATGAAAAACCTATGTATCTGGTAAAGCATACTTGAACTGTGTGAAAGAATATGTAGTGGAGAAGGAAGTCTCCTTTTATATGTCCTTCCTCTATCCCCTTCTTTAGAATTTACTGGTATTTTTTTCTGTCTCCTTCAATAGGCACATGATGCATATACATGCACATATATATGCTAACGTGTGTGTGTGTGTGTGTATTTGCTAAAAACACAAATAAAAAACATCCTATAATGTTGCTCTTCACCTTACTCTTCTCAGTTTATCTCGGATCTTCCATATGGATACACGCAGATTTACCAGATTCTTGTCCAGCTATATAATGCTCTATTGTATGCATGTATCATTGTTTTTCTACCAGGTTACCTGATGAAGGGGACTTAAAGTGCCTCAAATCTTTTGTAATTATGAACAGTGGTGAAGTTGACTCATTACATGTATGTTTGAATTCATGCTCAAGTTTATATTTAGGATAAATTCCTGGAAGTAGAGTTCTGAGTTGAAAATTTTGTGCATTTTACATTTAATAGATATTGCCACATTCTCCTAAATAAATTAAACCTTTACATAGGTTTAATAGTGTAATAGAGTGCCTATTTCCTTATACTCTTACCAACAGGATATTTTTTTTCTTAACAACAGAGTATTAACCAACTTTTTAAAAATTTTAATTTAATTTAATTTTTTAATGGAGGTACTGGGGATTGAACCATGTGCTCTACCACCGAGCTGTTCCCCTTTCCCTTATTCAACTTTTTGATCTTTACCAGTCTCACAGAAGAAAACTGATCACCTTTTCATTTGCATCTCTGTAATTATGAGTGAGGTTGGTCATTTTGTCATATGTCTAAAAGTGAATGGATTTAGTTTTTTAAACAACTTATAAGTTAAAATGAGAAACAAATCTCCAAACTTGGGGTATGTAAGTTTTTTAAAACTGCATAAACTTCTTTTACCAATTAGATTTTTTAAAGCCTTTTCTGTTTAAGATAGGACTCTATGGATGTGTTCCTCAACTTATTTTATTGGGGTTTTTTTGTTTGTTTGTTTCATTTTTATTTGTCCTTTTGGACATTAGTAGATTTTTTGGTTTTGAGTCCAGTACCTGTGTTAGCAATCTGACACTAAGTTTGTTGTGTGCTTGCCTGAGATTGTGGATATTGATAGATATCTAAAATTTGGTAAGATTAGAAGTTGATTTCCTTTAGGGTATGTTCTTGTAGAGAAGCTTAGCAGTGCATAATAATTTTCATGACCTTAGAGGACATGTCTGTGTTATGGCAAAATTTGTAAGTAAGTGAGATTTATTTTGGGCACCAGCTGTCCCAGCATCCTCTTTCTGGACTTTTTTTTTTTTTTTTGCATTATCTCCTCCTGACAGGAAAATTAACTGATAATGTATTCTGGTGTTATAGCTAATAAACACTCAATATTGTTATTCGTTACTATGTACAGGCATGGTCCCGAGCACAACTGTATGAGATAAGTACCATTATGACCCTATTTTAGATGAAGAAAGTAAAGTGTAGTTTTGCTCAAGTCATACAGTTAAAGTAGTAGTATCGTAGTATCAGAATTTCAATTCAGATAATCTGATTCCAGAGTCCTTGCCTTTGTCTAATGTACTGTACTGTTTTCACTGTTCTCACATTTCCCAAACTGTGTGTCTGGACACCCCAGGGTTGCTGTGAGATACTGTAAATTTTTGAGGGAAACACAATGACATCTCTTGGACAACCTATAGACTGCTGGCTCGAGGTGTTTCAACATTAGATCATACTCTTATTTCTCTTGATGACATACCTTTGCAAAGCTAGATTTTCAGTGGTGCTGTGAAAAAAAGCAAATGTCAGACAAAAATCAATATAGAACAAGAAATGAAGGTGGTAATTTCCAATTCCAACGCTTGAGAAGTTGTGCCATTCCTAAGAGGTACACACATCCCACTAGTAAGTACTTGTGGTTATATGACATAAAAATATTTTTTTCAGTTTATTGTATTATTTCTTCATATGACTACTAAATTGTTAGGAAATACTTATTATTTGGACCTAGCTACTTAGTAGGACTGTTAGGTATTTCTTTTGGCCTGGGATGCCATGAAAACATTGCTGAAACACCTGGGTACGTGTGAGCTGAGAAAGTTTGGGAACGTCTATAAGCACACCCTTATAGTTGTAGAGAAAAGAATGGCAAATTTATTGGGCACAAGGTAGGAAATCAATGTGATAGTTCTTATTGCTATATCGATGCTTAGTGTTAGTGATTTCACAGTAATTCTCATAGGAGCATTTGATTTGAATTCATCTTGGAAAGAGTGCTAATCACCCAAAGGAGTGCATTCCAACAGATCTAAAGTGGGATGGCATGTGACTGACAGAGAAATTTGGATATTCTGGTGTTTCTAAAGTCATATAGTTAGATGTCTTAAAATTATGACCTAGGGAAAATGTATTCCTGAATTACATCTAATTTGATAAAAATGATATCTATCTTGTAAGTTTGTTGTTGAGATTAAATGATTCAGCCTTAAGAACAGGATCTGGCACATAACAAGCAATCAGTTGAATATTGTTATTGTTTTATTATTATTATTAATAATATTTTGTTATTCATCATGGTCATTATCATCACTGCCACCATCATCTCTGAAGGGTGCGTATCCCACTAGCACAGCAGAATCCTTACCCATCATAAAACAGACAAAATTGTTAGTTTTTTGACAGGTTAAGGGATCTGAGAAGCTGCTTTTTTTAAGCCTATCCTTAATTGACGTGAACTGTGGAGGGATTCCCTTGTGAATCCGTTGAACCAGGTTTTTACCTGATCTGATGAACAGTTCCTAAACTCTTTTTAGGCCCTAGTTCTGCACCTGTTTGAAACAGCCTCTAGGGAAAACTGTGGGGACAAATTGAAATTTTCTTTCATTTATGTGATGGATTTAGGTCTTACTTTTCTCACCTGTCTTGATGTTAATGACAAAACTATGTTCTTGATTTTTTTGGCATAAATTAATATGCTAAGTCTGTGAAGTCTCATACTGGGACAATTACCTCTTAATAGCACTTATAAAAAAGCACTTTGTGTTATTTGTATGGTCTCTTCACCTTATTAAGTACTTCAATATCTGTCATTTTCATTATTTCCTATAGGCTAGACAGGGTGGGTTTTATCTTCATTTCATGGATGAAGAAATTGAGATCAGAAAGGTACATAACTCATCCAGATCATACAGCCAGGTTATGATAGATCCATGCCTGGTATCACAAATTTTCTTATTTCCGGTTTCCTCTTGCCTCACACCCTAGAATGGGGGCCAGAACATGGGATGACTCAGGGCTCCCGGAGTCAATTCTAGGTCCCGTCTTTTGACCTTGGGAAAAATCATTCAACTTCTCTGAATCTTTATTTCTTCATTTGTGAAATTAACTAATAATATTAGTTTAATTTTTCTGTGGGTTTATTGTAATTAGTGTTGGAATCAAGATTCAAATACGGGTTATCTGGTTCTCACGTCTGTGCTCTG